GGGAAAGATTACAAGATGACCAACAGTCTCCTCCATCACACAAAAGATCTGAAGATCAGGACACCAAGTTGACCCAGCCGCTTCCTTTACAGCAATTCTGAACTACCCTCTGTGATTATTCCTGACAGGTCTTCGTGGTTTTAATGGCCGCTGATGAATTCTCATTTTCTCACCAAATGTTTTTACAACATGTGGACGGTCACTGGTGATAGCCGGTGAAGTGCTCCCAAAAACAGAACGGCCATATTGACACTGGCAACACACAACTTTATCCGGTGACTTGGATTTCCTCACATCCTCACCCAAGTCCATAAGGCTCAGTGACAGGTTTCTGAAGAGGGTTTAACTGCTTGCTAAAATCTATGAATTAAAATCGGAGTGAATCAAAACATCTACCACCGCTGCAAGAAGACTTGATTTCCCCCCCCTCCTCCTATAGACCAATCTCTAATGCAACAAAAGCCAGATTTGATTATAATTTGACATTATCAGGCTCAGGAAATACACCAATGTATGTTTGCGGCAAATATTTCCTCACCTTCCTCAGTGAAGAATAAGGATCAAGCAATGCAGGAGTCATTTCAGGGATCCGATCCAGGACTGCAGGAATATAGTTACTGGAACAGCAACGATGACATCACCCTCTTAAAACTAATGGCTATTATTCAAAGACATATGTCCGCCGTCCACATGTGTAGTCCATCCCCACCCCTCCCCCTGCTCACTTGTGGACTGAAAAATAAAACAATTTTTTCTCTGTCTCGCCCCCCCCCCTGAATGGTTGATATAGTCTTAATCGCACGCTGCGAGCTGCACTAGCGAGAGGCAAACAGCCTGAGGTTCTGGGCGGTTAACAGCCAGAAGATTGATATGACTAATCTACCCGTTTGACTGTGATCCCAGAATTCCAGAGGAGCCCGGTCCCTTACGCAGCGTGCTGACTCATCCCTCTTACCGTGTCCTGCAGACAAGCCGGAGACATTAATGGTTTGCGCTGTAGCTCAGGGTCAGTTAATAGAGCCAAAAACATTCCTGTATTTAGAAGACTTTGTAAATGTCACACACTGGAGAAGCTTGCTGGTGTTGTATCTTAGACATTTCAATATCCAGTCCAAACTGTGTCAAAGAGTATGGAACTACATGAAATCATGTTCATGTTGCATTTAAAATGTGATTTGTATATTTGCTCCCGCTTTATGATGTCGCATATTATAGATGACTGAGCTGTCGACACAAAATCCTCCTAAATGACCCTTTTAAGTTGCTGGCTACTGGTGGTGCCCCATAAAACAGGGAATACTATACCGTTGAATACAAGGACACTTTTATAGCAGTCGGGCCCAAGGGCAGCAGCTTTGAAAGCATATACATAATAACAGAGAAGTGCCTCAATTTTTAAAACCTCGAGACTTATCCATGGTTCAGAGATCCATAAAACCAAACATTTGGTCCTGGTGAGGAGAAATAAAAAATAAAGTCACGTTACGGCTTATTTACTGCCAATATTGCACTTTAAGTCTTCATAACACTTTATTGTTTCCTCCTGTTAATAATGTGAGGAAGTGAAGTTGCATCTTAAATAGACAGTGGTGTCCAAAAGTTCTCCAGATGTGCCTTTAAAATGCAGAGGGGAGAAAGAGAGGTAAGTAGAGCCTTCTCTGGAATGGAGTTGTTAGTCACAGACTGCCTTCACGGTGATCTCAGAGGTCTTTGAGAAGCACTTTTCTGAAATGTTAGGGTGGTAAAGTGTTTAGTAGGAAGTACTTCTGAAACTGTACACAAAAAGGTTTCACACTTGTGAATAGTGTGAACAAAATATTACCTCCACACTTTTAAATTATAATACTTACTGTCAAAAAAATGACATGAAAATGCTAACGTTCATCTGTCCTTTCATCAGTACTTTCTGTGCCATTCAGATCCATTGGTTCCTACTGAAGATGTAATATTTCAAAGAGGTTCACAAATACTGTGAAAAAAAAAGGCTCAGTAATTTCCATTATTAGGTAAGAATTGACGGGTTCCATCTGCAGCGGAAAACAAGTACCCAGTTGGGAAGGACCAAAACCCAAAACAGGCATTGGTGCAAAATTATTCAACTTTTTAAAGTATCTCCTCTTCTCTGTGTCGGGGCTGAGCTCCACCAACTACACACACACACACACACACACACACACACACACACACACACACACACACACACACAGAAGTCAGCAAACAGCAGATCAGAGGCCGCGGTGGAGACAGTGAAGTGAAGATTAAATATGCATCAGCATCAGCTTTTGTCTTTCTTTCTCTATCCAATCCCGACTTTTCAGTTTGTCAACTTAGTAGCATGTTACCACACAGACTGAAATCAAGTGTGTGCTATTAATGTTGGACAAGTAATTGGATACTTTCCTAGCGTCTGACGCGGAAATAATCAAAATAGTACTTCATGAGCTTTGTCAATTGGAAGGTTTTGTTGAGACGACGAATCCAACAGGACGTTTTGTGCAGATCATCTCCTAATAGGTCAAAGCTGAATCTTGGTCCCTGGTTTTTCTGGGCCTTGTTTGAAGGCAGCTTAAGTAATGATTAGAAAGCTAAGTCCACATCTGAGATATATTTTCCAATACCAAAGCCATTACTGGAACCAGATGGGGCAAAACGTCGGTCCGTTTGATACTTCCTGGTTTTTAACAAGCCCTTTTATTGACAGAATGGTTTCATGTTTTGTTGATTACGCTTGTTGCACTGACATGATGGATTTCAGCTCGTAAAAGTTTCTACATTAAAACCTTTATCATCGGGTTACTCAAATCTATGGGAAAAATACAAGCTGCCTCTGTCATTTGCATGTTACTGTTCATGAACGGAATGAAATGGAAGAGGGAAAGTTGTGCCTGTTGAGCATGGAAACCATATCTGTCAGCACAGACTTTGTGAAAACAAATCTTTTAATTTGGTCAGCGCTGCCAATTGGTTAAGAAAGCATTGGAGTTCACTATCGGCATGAGCTGTTAATGATGTATATCTCGGGATTAGCATTTACACACCACATACCGAGGCAGCAACAGCCTGTGAAACCACAATGAACCCGTCAGAGAGATGGGGGGGGGGAGAAAAACATGCGAACATGAGAGCTCCTTCAGCGTGGAGATCTGGCAACGCCATACTTTATCTTTCCAAAAAGCGTTAAAGTGTTACTTTGGCTGAGCTGAGAAAAGAGTGCTCCCTGTTTGACATTATTGTCATAGCAGAAGCTGGCTGTTTTGGCAATGTTTTAAGAGCATTGCACGCACAAGACCGAACTGATGGTTTACGGTAATAAAAGAGGTCTTTGCAAAGAGGGTTTTAAGATGCCAAAGGTGTAGAAGTAACTAACATACTAACATGTGGCTTGTATGCTTTTATATACGTGCTGTATTTTATTTTATTCTATAGGGGACCGTGGTGAGATTTCCTCTCACTAATTGATTTCACACAAAACAGCAACAATAGGATTACAAAAAGAAAATAATTTTTTCATTAAAAGTGTTGCATAAATTTTGACCTGATGCTTATGCGACAGGGTAAAGTCATGGGATCACCCACGTCATTTGGTACATCTTCTAGGAGCAAATGTCTGTAACAAATGTCATGAGAATCCATCCTCTAGTTAGTGGTGAAGTTTTTCATTGGACCGAAGTGGTGGACCTATACCAACCAACCAACATTGCCATGACTATACAAATCTGTGAGCAAAGATTAAATAACATAAGAGACACATTCACTTTTCCAAATTTATGTAAAATGTGTATGTACATGTAATAGGCAGCAATGCACTGCTGACATTCAAATTTGAAACAAAATAGTGCTAAAAAAAGACCAGCAACAGTTGAGCAAAAACCAAACGAGAAAAAAAGAGTTGACAATATTTGCACTTTGAAAAAAATGTTCTAGCATGTATGACTACGAGACATTTTCTATTACCAATGAATACTGATTACTGCAGTGCCGACAGCGCGCAACAAGAAATGTTAATGCTAATTCATGATGCAGACTGGTGGTTATTCTCTTAAGATATTCCTAGTAATACAAAGAAATGTAACAATGAAACAAAGAAATGAAAAAGGAATTATCAAAAATATTGCAGTCTTTAGTTTGACAAAACAATCAGAAGGCGGCGCCCTCTCGTCAAGCAGTCAATAAGTTACTCAACAGGAACTCTGTGTGGAGCTGCTCTGTAGCTCACAGTGTGTACCTGCAACTGCCAATTCTGTCGACTAATCACTGCTTTTATGATTTACTATTACATTATCACAATGAGAGAGATGTAAAAGAATAGCTGAATATTTTTGCTGATGAGAGGATTAATACCACTTTTATGCCTGTCGGCTAAATATGAAGCTAGAGCCAGCAGATGGTTAGCTTATGTTAGCATTCAGACGAGCCTGGCTCTGTCCAAAAGCTCACTGATGAACACATTATTGAATTTGTAAAATCTGTAGAAAAAGCTGTAGAATGTGTGAGTTTTTACTATTGGATACTGTATGTTTACCCCTGCTTCTTGTCCTTATGCTAGGCTAAACTAACAGCCTGCTGATTCTAGCTTCAGATGTATGCTACAGTCATGAGAGCGGTATCAATCCTCTCTTTGAGCTCTCAGCAATAAAGCAAAAGTGTATATTCAAAATTGTCCAACCATCCCTTTAAGCAAAATCCACTGACCTGTTGAATGAAAGTGTACAAAGTATCTACATATAGTGAAAATGATTTCAGTGAGGAAGGGCTTTTACTACGATGAACTTTTCTTAAGAGGAAGAAAGAAAAAGAAACCCAACCCTTTTTTGTGGTGTCATCACACACCACAATCAACTAATACGTAAGAATGGGCATTTCAAACATCTGTAAATATACAAAGATAGATGGATATACAAACAGGAAAATAGAAAGCAAAGTTTGGGATTTTTAATGCTTGTGCAAGTTCATATGTAGGATGAGATGCGACCGAAAGTGTGTGTGTGTGTGTGTGGGGGGGGGGGTGATTTTATTTGAAGACATTCTCAAAGGCGGGGCATTTGTAGGTCTTGAGTTTCTTGATGGCCTTTTTGAACTCTTTGCTGGACTTGTCCCACTTGTGGATGCCTGTGAGGAGGTACTGCTTATCCACTCTGCGGCCCATGATTAGATACTGGTTCCCCAGGTTGTCCAGCTGCTGGCAGGGGCAGTCCGCACCGTTCTTCAGGTACAACACCAGCGTCTTCATGTCCTTCTTCTTCAGGTTGCCCTCTTTCAACATCTTTTTCCTCTTCTGCAGGGTCACCTTGCGGTCCATGTTTTCTCGCGTCACCTCCTTGATCTTGGTCTTGAAAGCTGCGTTGGAGAAAAGTAAAAATAAACAGTTACATCGTGCTTAAAGGTGGATGAGTTATTGTACAGAATGTGTGGTCTTATCACACCGTTGCCTCTAAAGACTGCTAGTTAATATTTTACGAGTACAAAGTGTCACCCCAGCAAAAGGAAACACGATAAAGGGTATCAGCACCTTCTTTTCGGGGACAAGTATACAAGTGTGATTCTGTAAAGGTATACTGGTTTAGTAAAATATCCACCTCCACTGGAATATTTCATTTACTGCCTTTTCTTTCCTTTACAATGTACTTTCCCTATTCTTAACAATAAATGGTTTGAGCAGGCACCTCTTTATTTCGACACACAGCCTATTCCTTCAGATTGAGCGCAATTTAACTTTAAATCTAACTAAGTAGTGACGCCAAGGGATCCTGACAAAGAGTCGACATGTGACCAGTTGGGAATGAGAACGGGTTTAAATAATACCATAAAAACGTCTAACTGAGTCATGCTTACGCTCTGCCACTTACATTTTTTGTGTTTTCATAAATATGCAGATCTGTCTAATGAAGGAAGATAGAATGTCTCCTATACTTGTAGTCTTTACACATTGTTTTTTTTCATGTGATTAATGATTCGTAAATCATTACATCTTTTAAAAAGGAGTACTTTCACACAGAACAAGAATATCATACAGCAAAAGAAGCAACATCATTTCTTCTGATCAACCGATCACCTCAAAATGTACACAGTACTGTACAGCAACATGGAGGCTCCTTGCGCCAAACCAAGAAATCAAACTTTGATTACTCCTTTCGTGCATACCACATCAACTCCTTTCGTTCTCACCTTTCACAATAAAAGCCCAATGCAATAACACTGTTTACCAGATGGAATTCTAATCCAAAACTGGTTGAAATAGCTTACAGTAGCTTAGGCTATACAACAGTTTCACTCAGAGAGACTGTTAGATGCTACTCTGGGTCAATAGGATCCCAATAGTTGGTCCTCTGCCTGCATGAATCTATTCAACCTTTACTGAAAAATTGCTGCAACTGTCGTAAATTTGCATCGCAACCAAATTTGCATCGCTGCCGGTGTGATTTTTTTACGAGTTTTCATGTTGTTATTTGTCACGCCCCAGTTTGTAAAGACCTTAAATTAGTTTTTATTTAATGAAAATAATGTATAGCTGTAAGCCAGTGCACACCTCTAGATTTTGCCCTCCCTCTGACTCTCAGGCTCGTTTTCAGATTGACCATACTACTCCTGATTGTTCACTAAACTCTATTTAATCTTCTAATCTCTCATTCCTCCAGTTCCCCTTCTGAAACAGAGCACGAGTCCGACTTTGGTGGTCCAAATCTCCATCTGCCTCCCCTCCTTGCAGTACGTCCTCTCCTTTTCCACTGACATATAGTGATGTGTGTGCGGCACGGACAACCTTGTGACATGGCTACGGGAAGGAAAAAAACTTGCATGTATGTCCAATCTAAGTGACGGAGCTGGTGTCGGGATAAATCGCGAGTCATGCCGGAGACAAAGTCTTGTAACCTCTACATTACAAGGAACAGCCTGATTGAACATGGATCATTTTCACACTCAAGCAAAGATCTGGATAAAACTTCAACTTCTGTCTAATTTCCACAACAGTTTCAGACACCAATTCCCTCTTGACTAACTTTTCACAGAATTGTGCTTGACTAAACCTGAATTGTCACTTTAAAAAAGCTCCCACCGTCTCATCTCTTCCTTTTGTGCAAGAATGTCCCATTGTTGATTAAGTGTTAAAAAAGAGCGGCCCTGTTTTTCCCAGAATTAAGAGTGCACATGCTAGGGATTAAGACTCTTATCCCCTGTCTCTAGTCTCTCATATGAGCCTCTGTGAGGAGGCTCAGTGTTCAGTGAAATCAAAATGGGCAGCATTCATCATTAGTGAGTCATAAAAGAGAAACCCTGGCCCACCCCTGAAAGGACTTCATCTTGATAAATCCTCCATCCTCGATAATCCTTTCATGCTATGAACTTTCTTTGCACCTTGTGTTGTTTAAGAGCTTAATCGCTTCAGCAACTGCATACAGTGAGAAGTTAACACCAAACGATTGAACACTTTTAACAATGCTGTCCTTTGCTAACAGTCGGCGAAACTGGCGAAATCGACACATAATTCCAGTGTGCAATTAAGCAAACAACTATTTCCCTGCTCGTAGACTGCTACCAGCTCAAAAGGCCAATGAAAAGTTGCCGTGGACTTTGGTGAACCGACTGCAGGCTGGTCTCATCCAGCATTCCTAGCAAAAGCTACGAAAAATAATGCGCCGTAATTTGTAGATATCCCAGACAATTTCTACGTATCTTGTCCACGTAATCTTGAACGAGGATGCATAACGACTGCTGAGTCACACACCGGGCAGGACCAAGAAACAGCGATCGTTCAGCCAGGAGGCAGCTGGTTGTTCCCCATGTGAAATGAGAAATCAATGTTGGTGTTTTTGTCACGTAGCTTTTGTACTTCAGTAACGGCACTTCCATGGATATTTTAACCTGAACAATGATCTTTCCGAAACCTTATTTTGAATAGACTACAAAATTGTAATGGCTAATTTTTCTTATTATAAAACCAGGTTTAGCTATTTATGTACGACTGTAAATCATTTATGCTTTTAAAAATCTCAAGTAATGCAATGTTACAATAGTTGTTTGGTTCGGAGGACTTCCCTGACCCTCAACCTGATTTCCTCTGCCGGTTCAGAGGCACAGACGGGACCTCCAGCTCCCAGGGAGTCATAAACCCAGCAGGAGGGTGTGTACTGCTCCCCATTCACAATAATGGAAACTCAAGTAATCTGATAATCTGAGGTGATCAGTGCTGGGCTGCCCTGTTGTTTACAGCATTAGCAAAGGAAAGGAGCAATTTGGCAACGACAACAAAGTGAGCTGTCCGAGGCAGAGGAGAGATTTAATTGAAGGGCACTGGAGTTTTTTGGGACAATGAGGCACCATAAAACCTTAAGCACAGAGATAAATTGCAGTGGGAACAAAGTTTTGAGTGGGATGAGCTGTAAATCTGTTACCAGCTGACTGCCGCTCAAAATGGGATGTGTGCATTTAGGCATGTGTGTGTGTGTATGCTTGTGTGTTAGAAGGAGATACATCAGGCTGAAGAAAAGTGTTGGGCTGAAAACCTGTTCCTTGTTACGGCAACTCTGAAATAACTCCTCTAACTTACAAGAACCTTTCCTCCTCTGCCAGAACGATGTCACGTTCAACCACCTTATGTCAGAAAACTGTCTTTCCGCGGTATTCTCCGCTTGTATCGGGGTAAAAAACGCCAGGAAAAGTCCAATGCGCTGGAGCAATTGATGGGAAGCAATTATGCAGGGCGTCAAATAATAGAAAGGGTATTATCAAAAAGAAACTATTTCACACTTAACTGTTACCGTAACTGAGAACAGACCTTTCGCAACTTCCAGTAAGTGAGTTTTTCAGTGTAGAAAAATGCTAATTCACTGCCAGGGTGGGAGATATTTTACACATGATTGGTCCGTGCAGATTAATTAAGACTTCGGTGCAATTTACAGATTCCTTCCTCGAGCCTCTCTATGGTTTTTTCATCCCCGTGTTCCATGGAGAAGAGCAAGAAATCTATCCATCATATCTATAAACAACAACCAAAAACTGGTATGTGTGCTCCTAAAACTGCTGCTACTTACCGTGTTCGTCCACTTTCAGTAAAGTCAAAAGTAGCAGGATGCAATCACAATGCTGGTCTAATCTTTCGTTGGAGGGATAAAACACATCGTGATTAAAGCTTGGGAGTTGTTTTTTTTCCATCTGCATATTTTCTTTTTCCTCAAGACAAAACATTTACTCATATTTGGCTTCAGCTGCTGTCAGATATATTTATATAAAACTGAACTCAATTGGCCGACTGGAAAAAGCAACAAACAAATCCTTTAGCCTAGCTGGTGATATAACCAGTGATGCTATCTCTGTGCATTAGATGTTTACCCACTGTAATCAACTCCTACACCACGCTGAAATCACAGCGACGCTTGTTGCATTCCAGAGGAGGCTGGCCCCTTGTGGGTTCAAACCTGCAACGTAAGCCGCACAGTGTCTCATCCTCCGCCTGGTACTAAATCTGTCTGTGTATCCTCACATGTCAGCTGGATAGGGAGCTTATGACAAGCAAGCAAAACAACATCTGTCTTCATCCCAGATGAAACAAGCCCATTATTTGCCACTCTCCTCTTGACAAACCCAGACTCAGACTGAAAAAAAAGGCGAGCCCCATCACCGCAGCATAAACAGCGAGGCAATTCGTTAAACAAATGCAACTTTTAACTTTTCCTGAGAACGTCGACGAAAGTCTGTTTCCAATGTGCATCCAGTCTATGTTTGCTCAGAACGGCACCTGGAATTCAAGCTGCCACAAGTTTTTGTCCAGCCAGGGAATAAAAAACGAAAGCCTAACATCTTGCATCTTGTATGCATCATGTGCATATCATTCCTGGAAGTCATCCTAACTACGATTTCGTTGATGTCTGTGTTCAAGACTTTCGTACTGGGTTTCTCATGCAAAGATTTCCACAACTAAATCAAGTGCCCCCCCCCTTCAGCTAAAGATGTTCCGTCTTTCCTGGATTGTTAACGGTGTTTTCTGTCTGGTTTCCAATCCAGTTGTACTGCAGATGCCCCATTGAAATTAATATTTTCACGAAGGTTATCTCTTATAACTCTTACATTTTCAAATATTCCTTGGCTTGACCAGACGTGTTCTTGAATTCTAAAAAACGACACGACCACACAACTAAGAATATGCCTCTAGCGGCCATGAAAACCCCCTCACAATTAATTGTGTTGTTGAAATACAGACTTTTTAAAATCTGTGATATTTGATCATTTGCGGTGCCTCCTGAGTGTCAAGCTAACGTTACTGTAAGGCAGTCCCACTTTACAATGGCAGCTTTACTTTAATCAGATTTTTTCATCCATGCCGTTGAATTCAAAATGATTCCACACATTACTTCTCAGATAGTTATGCGTCATTGTTTGTTTAGCGCAGAGAGATTTCTCCCTTTTGAGTTAGCACAGACAACAACAATTGCCTAGCTTACTGAAGGGGCAACATGACATGCAGTGAATTTTGAGAGCGACCATCACATGAGTAGAAGACATGTCCACATTGGTAGATCAGCAACTTGTGTGTTCTACCCAGTAAAATAACTGTTCTTCTAAAAGGAGTCTGGTCTATCATTAATTTCTTCATTTCAGAAGACATTTAATGCCCCCATGTGCAGAAGGTATTCTGGAACAACAGCCCGTCCTGAATGCGGAACAAATATCCCACTTTACTACTGCGAGGACCTGCCACATCAAAACTTTAATGACCCCAATTCATTACTCACAGAACATCATCCTCTACCAAAGCAGACATTTCACCAAGAGATAACACCTCACATGTAACCTTAACATAAACACATCTTCATTAATCCAACCAAAGAACATTGCTGGCATGCAAGAAGTTCTATAGAGTCAACTGGGGTGTAAGTTGCAAAGTATGGTTAAAAACTGGGTGCACTTATGGGAATAAAATGCATCTTGACATACTTTGTCAGGGATTTATGGACTGTTTTAAAGCTTGAAGATGGAAGATACAACTGATTCAATCTCATGCTGCTCTTCTGACTTCATGGAGCGCTGTGATACATGTCACGGTGCAGCAGAGTGGGGTGTGTGCATTTGCATGTTGGGTAAGCGCAATGTTGCGTTGGGTGTTGAGAGGGCGCTCACCGAACTCGCTGGCACACATGTGATCAAGCATGGCGTCTGTTTTCATTTCGTTGTCACACGGAGGGCAGACGGGAGAGAAACCTGTGGGACATCAGCGGAAAAGAGGCAAAATATCAAATGTGAGTTGCAGTGATGGCAGCAATGGATCATTCACATGGCATTATTCACATCGCCACCATCTTGGCATGTGGTTAAAAGAACAAAGAGAGAATCAGGAAGGGGAGAAAACACTCATTTCTCATTTGAAATGATGGGGAGTTAAACTAAATCCTTAAAAATCGTACCCACATTTCCCCTTACATTTCAATCTTAAATTTCTGCACACACACCTAACCTCTCTGCAAGCAGAGATCCTATCTAGTGTCTGGTCTCTTGGGCTTCGTAGGCTCTGATGACCTGACCTTAGTGAGAAATGTCCAGCTTTTATAGCCAGCTGTAACCAAGAGCTGCAGTAAACACTCATCCTCACTCACTCTCCTAATGGAGCTGTCCATGAAGCTCAACGGCGATGTATGCACCTTAAATGCACAAAAGAAGGATTCCAAATGTGGAAGGAATAAATGGTAATGATATTCAATCCAAGCTTGAAGGAATATTCTGAAATTCAAAAAAAAGAAAGGTAATAATAGCCGGCCCAAAGCCCAAAACAACTGAAGACAAAGCCAAAATTAGTTTTTGCCAAAAAAGTAATTCAGTCTAGAGGCATATCTGCGAATATCTTACCGACACGATTTTCACTTCTTTTTTCTACTATTGCAAATGGTCGCTCCATGCCAAACAGCTGAGTTCACTTTCCAAACCAACGTGGACGCTGCATCCTAATTCATCTAATTGAAACCGAATGCATTTCAATGTCACAGCGTGGACCTGGCTCGACTGAGTGGGGGTGCTGGTGGTGGTGGAGGGGGGGGCGGGGGGGCTGCCATTTGTCCATTACATGTGTTTAACGAAAGCTTGTGAAACTTACACCCAGGTGTGAAGAGCTTATGAAAACAGACACTGTTTACAGAGTCACAGGGTCCTTCAGCCCATTTCAGCCTGGCTCCCCTTTAAATCAATTATCACCGTGGTGAGCACTCTTAGCTGACCTCTATTAACAATCATTAAGGGGCATGACTGAGAAGATTACGCTGCTTTGGTTTCGACTTCATCAACAGCAATCAACATCAGATATCATTGCTTTCCGGGGAGAGTATTGATAGCAAAAGAAGTGACATCCTGAGACCCTCCGGAGTAACTCCGGCTTTATTCATCACCTGCGCTGACGACGAATGATAGCAGGTGATGTCTGCAGAGCGTGGCGCTCTGTGTGGTCCCTCTTTTCCAGAAAAACGGGCCTCTGTCCGTCCATACCACCATGTCAGTCAGTAACACCCCCCCCCCCCTCTGCATTCGTGTTCACTCTACAGATACAGTGAGCGCTGTGTGAAACGCTGGAAGATCCACAGTCCCCCCATTTATGGCCCACTTCTTCAGCCAACATGTCCTCAGGTGATGTATTCACAGCTTAGGACTGAAATATAAGTAAGCTGACTCCGTTGGTGATGGAAATCGCCCGTCTGTTTCATGGTGAAAGTGAATAAGGTGGTTGTACTTTTCCTTTCCTGCTGGTGTCCACCTCACTTAGGTGATAAGAAGGGACAGCGAACCAAAGCTTCAAACCAAAACTATTCGGAATCAGCCCGAGCTTTATCTTCCCCAGACATGTTGCTCTTGTTCATTTCTTCGGGGGTTTCTCTGGTATTTGTCAGCTCGGCCCATTGGGTTTGTGCTGGAACAGCATCCCCCCCCCCCCCC